AGTCGATGGACACCCGGTCACAAATAGACAATGCAACACTGAGCAATCAGTGCACCTGCATCACCCCATCAGCATGCAGCCCAGGACAGGAACAGTGTAAAAACACGCGGGCAGCTGAAAAAGGACAGGCTCAAGGGCCTGCGTCGGCGGTCCTACAAAACTGCGACCGGCAGCCGACCCTACAATGGTCGGCATAAACCCTCACCCGAAATCAGCAATCGCTAGAACGATTCTAACCTCCGATGCCATCAACTGCTTGTATACCAATGCACAAGGTCGCCTTAACAAGCTAAGCGAACTTCGTCTTCGTCAGGTCTCCAAGTCTTGGGACCTAGTTATGGTCACCGAAACATGGCTGAACACAGAGATCAATGATTCTGAGTTGGCTCCACCCGGTATGACTTCCATACGAAACGATCAACCTAGCAGAGAAATCGGAGTGCTAATTTATTATCGATCCGAACTGCAGACTGATATCGTCGACGAGCCAGAAACGCAAGCAAGTTGTCGATTCTTTTTGGTGTCGTATGCACCAAGACACGGTGCTGTGTGTTTACTAGTAATAGTAACACACAGCCACCGTGTCTTGGTGCATAAGAAACCAAATTGGTTCAACATCTTGGTTTGTGTTGCTGGCTCTGTCGGTCGATATTCTGTTTGCAGTTCGGGTCGGATGGATTAATTTAACACTCCGATTTCTCTGCTGGGGTGATAGGTTGTATTGGAAAAAGACATTACGGGTGGTGCCAACTCCTGAATCATTGATTCAGTGTTCATCCATGTTTGGTGGTCCATATCTTGGTCCAAGTTTGGGAGACCTGACGATAGTACGAAGGCTCGCTTAGACTTGTTAAGGCGTCCTTGAGCATTGGGATTATCAAGCAGTTGATGCTTCGGAAGGGTTTGAATCGTTATTGCGTTTTGATGAGTTCGGGATGTTGGATGTGTTTTTGACGACATTGTAGTGTGTCTGGCTGCCACGGTGCTGTTTTGTTGGTCGCAGTAGCTGGCCCGGAAGTCCTGTCAATTGTCTGATGCCAGCGTGTGTGTTATCTATGTTCCGGGCAGGGGCTGCAAGGCTGATTGGTGGTTGAGGGGGATCGGTGGGAGCTGGGTGGCATTGGGCGAGGGGGGGAAGGGGGTCCATGAGTAGGCTGTAGTGGGACTGGGGGAGTGACTTGGGTCAGATGGAGGAGCGTGGAGAGGTGCTGGGGGGGGGAGAACAACAAGGTTTCTGCCGGAGGTGGGATGGCGCGTGAGGGTGGGCGGAGGAAATATGGTGGGATGGTGTTGGTGGATGCGCGGTCGGGTGGTGGGGGTGAGGCGGGAGTGGGATTGAGAGCAGTAGTAAGGGAATTGTGGTGGGGGGGGATGAGGGGATGGAGGGTGGATTTGGAGGAGGTGTGAGGAGGGGGTATTATCTGAGGGAAGGATAGGGGGGAGTGGGTGGTGGTGGGGGTGGGGCGTGGATGAAAAGTAAGGTAAAAATGGGTAAGGGGGAGGAGGGGAGTGGTGTGGTGGGGGAGGGGGTTCAGGGTGGGGTTTGGGGTGGAGGGGTGGCGCGCACACCATAGGAGGGTAGGGTTAGGTGATAGTGGTCGGGGTGTGGGTACCGGGCGGTAGCGTGTTGAGTTGGGAGTTGGTGGCGGGGGGTGGAGGTGGGGCAGGGGGGGTAGATGGGGGAGGGGAGGTGATGGTGGTGGTGAGTGGTGGGGGATGGAAGGGTGAGGGTGGTGAGGGTGGGGGTCAAGTGGAAATTGCGGTTAGTGTAGGGGTGGAGTGACAGTGTGTAGTAGGGCGTGGTGGGAGGGGATTGTTGGGGAAGGGAGAGGGTGAGCGGTAGGTTAGGCTGTTGATTAGGGCAGGTGACGGAGAGGTGATGGCAGGTGAGGTAGAGGTTGGGTAGTTTGGTGGTGTTGGAGGATTGGGTTGGAGGTGGGGTTAAGGAGGTGGCGGTGGTGGGTGGAGTGGAGGTAGATGAGAGGTAGGGATGTGGGGGGGGGTGGGATGTGGAGGCAGTGTGTGAGAGGGGGAGGGGCTCGTGGAGCGGGTGTAGGTGGTGGCCGGTAGCTGGGGAGAGGCATTAAAGGGGGGGTGGGTGGGCGGGTGGTTTGGTACTGAGGAGTGGGGGGGGGGTGGCACGGTGATGGGGGGTGGGGTGTGTCCGTGGTCCGGAGGTTTGGAGTGGTTGAATGAGGTGGTGGGGGAAGTAAAGGATTGAGTGTATGGTTGGTAGGGGCTGGGTTGGGAGTGGGGTCGGGGCGATCGGTGGTGTAGGGTGGAGGTGGGTGGAGGGAGGGGGACAGTGGGGGGTGAGCGGACCAGGGGGTGGAGAGTTGGTCGGTGGGTTGGGGCTGTTGGGCCAAAGGGAGGGTTGGGTTGGTGAGGTCATGGAAGTGTTGGGGGGTGGGGGATGGAGTGGGTGGGGGGTGTGGTAGGGTAGGAATCGGGGGTGCGGTGGGTGGTCATGAGGGGTGTGTGGTGATAAAAAGGTTGTGGTCAATAAACCACCTAGGGGACAGGTGGGTTGGAGTGGGGTGAGGGGCGCGGGGTGGTGGCTGGGTACAGGGGGGTGTATGGGTTGGTGATGGTGCGTGGGGTGGGGGGTGGTTGGGGTGGTGTGGGGTAGAAGCGAGGGGGGAGAGTGTGACGTTGAGCAGGCTAGTGGACTATGTTGGGTGAGGGGGTGCGGGGGGGCACGGGGGAGGGTAGTAGGTGGTTGTGGGCATGAGGGGAGCTCGCCGTGCTTCAGATTTGTGGGGAGGAGGTGGAAGGGAGGCGAGGGCTTAGGAGGCGCGATGGCAGGTGTGAGGTGGCGGGGGTTGGTGGAGGGGAATCGTGTGCTGGGAGTGGGGTGGGTTGGGTGGGGAATAGTGTTTATGGGGCAGGGGGGCAGATGGACGGTTTGGAGGTGTATGGTTAATAGTGTAGTGCAGTGGAGGTGAGAGAAATGTGGGGAGTGTAGACTTGGAGGTGGAGGGGGGATGAGGAAAGAGAATGTTGTAGGTAGGCGGGAGGGGGGGTGGAGGAGGGAGGGGTTGGTAATTGGCTGTGAGCGGGGTGGGGGGTGTGTGTTGTTATGGACGGCCTGCCAGTAGTTGTATAGTTGAATGGTAGGGTGGGGGGGTAGATGTGTGGTGGGGGAGTGGGGTGATAAAGCGTGGGATAGGTTGACATGAGGGGTGTGTTAGAGGGGGGGATGGGGGGTGGGATGCGTGCAATCGCGAATGGGAGCTGGGGGGTTGGGTAGAGGAGTTAATGGGTGGTCGATGGAGCACGGTGTGAGAAAGTGTGAGAGGGTGAGATGTTAAGGGTGGAAGGGGGGCTGGTGGGAGAGAGGTGGGGGGGGGATGTTAAGGGGGTCTGTGGGGGGTGGGTGATGGTGGGAGGGGGGGAGAGTGGGTCGGTCGGCGGGGGAGAGGCAGTAGGCGGGGTGTGAGGGGTGGTGCGTGGTGTGGTTGATAGGCCGGGGTTGGTGTGGATGGGTGGCGTGGTCGGGGGGCAGCCGTGAGAAGTGGGCGGTTGTGAGTGGAGGGGGGTCGTGTTGGTGTGTGAGGGTGCGGAAGAAGGTGGGGGCGGGTGGTGGGGAGACAGGGGAGAAACGTGAGGATTTGGGGCGTGGGTGCGCGGGTTTTTGTGGGGGTGGGGTGTGGTGGGGTGTAGGGTGGGGTGTGTGGTGGGCGTGTGGGGCCGGTGGAAGGGGAGATGGGGCGTGGAGGGCGCGGCTATGGGGGGGTCGGTGAGAGGGGAATGTGAACTCTGGTAAGGGTAGTGAAGGAGTGCTGAGAAGGGGGGGGATATTTTAGTTTGAGTTGTGGGAGGGAAGAGGGTGTTTGGGCATAGTTTAGCCGTAGGGTAGAACTGTTGGCCCTCTTCTTGAGCATCGGCGGCCAATTTTTTTCCGTGAATTAGTGTTTCCGCGTGGGTTTGGTTCTCAGAGTCGGGTAGTCTGTGAGCTGAATGTCGTTATGCCGTCAAGGTGGGGTCAGCAGTGTTTTACGCGATTTGTCGCACATTTAAATATGCGCATAATTTTCAGCGAAACTCCTGATGTGAGGGTAAATCCACTGTATAGCGCTGGTAAATCCGAGTTGAATGAGCGCAAGTACAGTATTGTGCGCCGAGGATTGTGGGTAATAAGTACAGCGAGAGAGAGAGAGAGAAGCGGCGAAAGAGTGCGACCACACGAGTGGTGCGGATTTAGCGATTGGTTGATTTTGTGCAGCGAGTAGAAACTAGGATGACTGGGAATTTGGGAGCAACTGGATGAGGACGCCGAACAGACTCATGGCATGCGAAGGAAGTATCAAGTTTGAATTTTGCACAACGATAGTTTTGGCTTTGCCTGAGCAAAATAACGGCAGAAGTTCAAAATTGGGTGACAGTGGAGTAGGTTGTCAGTGGTTTATGACTAAATGTACTGTGCCTAGTTGTAAATTCGCGTGAACTAATAACAACACAAAGCGAAACTAATCTTGAAAATTCTAACTGGCAACGAAAGTGCTTGACGATGGATTGAATCAAATGTGGTGTGACTAGAAGTCTATCGAAGAAGATACAAAGTGGCTGAAATAATCAAAGAAGAGGACAACTGTTGAAAAGCGAGCTGCAAAGACATTGCTGAATAAAGGCTAAACGTACTATCCCAAATGTGACATCCAGCTCCCCGTGTGGATCTCTGGTACTGTGAGTTGACGCACCCCCTCCCAACTAGTTCACACGCTGCTTTTCAGTTAATCTGTCTAACGCGGTATAAGTCTGAACTCGTCATCGGACCACCAGGACCACACAATAACACACTCCTGCCACGTTTTCTACTTACTTCTTATCTCTTTCACTGGCTTACGGTGTGCCGATCACACATCCTTTGTTGATCACGTGCACCCCATTCTTGGCTGACTGCTTAAAGCGGGATCAGTCGGAATTGACATTGGCGTCTAAGGTCTCTTACATTCAATCACAGCCGTTACCATATTACTTTTGTACTGTTTCGCAGTTCCTTATCATTTGCTTGGCAGAACTTGTTCCGTTCCCTACCTGTTGATCCTTGGTTCTAGAACCTTAATCAGTTCCATTGTTTGTATGTTTACAACTATGTTCGGATTACTAACCTAGGTACAAACAGTATAGTGGCGTTTATTGCATGATTGTATCATCCGAACAACAAGTAAGCCACTCTTACTTGATCACGTAGTAATGTGCGAAATTGGATTCCATACCTACGACTTGCATTTTGTACATTATAAAGATAAAAATTAGGTCGACTCTTCAAAAGCACTATCTATCTTTAGTCGCCAACTTCTTCGTGACAGCAAACCGACTTTGGCGCATCTACTGATTGTCAGCACACATATGAGACCTTCATTGATGCGATAATTCTTCGTTTTCAATGTCCCCTTCACTTTGTTGGATTCGCTGAAGATACGCTCGCTGGTAATGATCCGTATGGATGAAACGAAATCTGAAGATGTTTCACTGTTTCGATTCATCATAAGTGCTCCCCAGATAAAGCAAACTCGCAGTAGCCACTGACGGCTTGCACCAAATATTACAAAAGATCGTTGAATTTAACTGCTTACATTTACTACTGAAAATGCGTTGTGGGAGCAAGCATACATTTAACTGTAAAACATCATCCAACTGTTGATGATCCGTGTTCATCAATTTCTTATGTTGCATTTGAAAATGTCATTGGGCTCAGCCAGTCTGTTCGCGACTAATGTTTGTGATACTCTCGTTTGTTAACCTTTAGCGAACATATAAATCATATCGTGAAAAGGGCTAAGCAGTCGGTCGGGCTCAAATGCCACCAGTTAACCTTGAAAGAAATCAGCCTAATTGCTTTCAAAATCAGTAGCATACCTTAGCTTGAATATCGCTGTGTAACGTTTATCAACCTGGGAAAGTGTGATTTGCGAGCCATTGAAAACGCTCAACTCGCCTTCAGGAAACGTATATTTAGTCACTCAACTGCTCATTTATTCAGAGATAGGTACAAGTAGCTGCATCTTGAACCTCAGTGGTTACGAAGAATGCATTTAAATCTGCGCTTCTTCCACAAACTCGCGTGGCGGAAAACATTTGTTGATACCTATAAATTACACTTACGGGAAAAAATCAATTATGCACTGCGAGATAGTGAAGTTATAGTCTCTGTACTTAAATTCAGGACCAACCTAAGCAGAAACGTCTATCTTATAAGATTTGGCTCCATATGGAATAAGCTACCAAAAGAGATTAGATGTACTGAACCTTTTTGCATGTTTAAGCAAATGACAAAGATTTATCTGGCAACTGATAGAGTGAAACAGCTTTTAAGAATTCAACTTGATGATGAGAAGCTTTATGAAGAAGGGCTGGATCATGTATGATACCGTGGAACAACGACCAGAAACATGTTCAACAGATTTTTGTAGAAAGTAAAAGCCACGATTAAAGGTCGCACGATAATCTGCCTCGACGGGGAATCGAGCTCCGAACGTACGGATTACCGGCCCGCTGCTCTACCAACTGAGCTACCGAGGACCGACGATCAGGTGCGCAATTTAATGATTTCTGCTTGATTCGCTCAAACTTGATCATCTAGGTGAAGCTGTTATAACCGCTTTACATGCTATTCTTTAACGCAACATTTATGTGGTTTTCCTCCATTCAAATTTACTTCCTACCACCTGTCTTCTGAGCTAAAAACTGTGAGCAAATTTGTTTACTGGAATTTATTTACAGGAATCATCTTCGTAACCCCACTCAAACTGACTAATTCGTAATATTGGTTCTGCGATTCTCTTCGCTATATTTGTTCTCTAATGCTAAGCGTCTCCCCTTCTTTTCCGGAGTTAGCAGTTGAGCAACACATACCGGATTTCAGTGATAGACGATATCAGATACACTATTATGGAAATACCTGCTACAAATAATGACTCAGAAAATTCGTTTTAGTACCTTTTTGCCTATGGACAACTCATGCAGCTATCTGTAGTGGCTGTCAAGCCGCACAATTTGATCGTATGATCTACTCGATCCCGTTTTGCGCAGTTATAAAACATGTTATGTGCTTATTTTTGGCATTGACGATATTATACTCATTGCGTACCATTCTGCTTATTTGCCATTCTTCCTTATTTCATTGTTGGCCAAGACTGGACTGCTTTCCTGAGGTGACGGGTTGAAGTTTCCAGGTTCTAAAGACACGGCAAGGCACATTGCCACCGAGTGACTGGCGTATAAAGAAGTGCCATAATTGTATGATCCTTATGACGGACTGGGCTGAGGCTCCATCACCCATAATGTTTGCATAGAAACAGCTTTGAAAAGAACACAACAAACGTTAAACAGTTGATGGCTTATATACTACATTGTCACACCGGCACGCGGCTAGGCATAGCATGGAAGTACGAGTGAAACCTTACGAGGGAATACCCTATATGGAAGCAGGTTCGCTGGGGACGGTTCCAAGTGTGGTCGTATTACTTTAATTGAACACTTGTTTAAATCTGTATTTGTACTTATTCCCAGCTTTTCAATTTATAAAATACCCTAAACTGCTGATTACTTTAATATACGTTTTGGATCAATTGTATAAATCGTGAAAAATTGCTTAGGTTGTGTTATCCTGTTGTTCACATTGATCAGACCATATAGTTGGACTGTGCGTCGCACTGCCGTTGTATAGATCATTTATTTATATACTTGTAAGATCTCACTGCTAGTATGCAACCAGTATCCGAATAAAATGCTAGTGAACTTCAAATCCAACAAAGTGCTGTACTGCTACACAGACTAGGTTTTCACGATGGTTCCAAACATTGACCGCACTTCATTCAAAACACAGGGGTGGGAACTCACTTTATATCTGCTTGTGGTGCATAGCGTTCGTAAGTGCATCAGTGGACTCAACATGGGGAACCCACAGAGAGGAAATATACGGTAGATAATGATGAGCTTAACTCATGTTTGAAGATAGGACGAAGTGTAGAGTATTAGTTTCTCGCACGGATCTTCATATAATAATTTCCGTAAACTTGGCATGACCCTGTTAGCGTTGAATTGGACCCATTCGATATTCTACGACTCGCTTCCGATGAGTGGACAGTAGGCAGATGAGATGTGCCTCAGTATTAGTTTACGATAGGAGAGGGGAAGCAAGTGGCGACATCTTCAGATAAGTATAGAAGCTGCATGCCAGCGACCAAAGCATGTGCAGTTCATTACCATATGGGCTGCCCGTGTTATTGCCGGACTTTAAATGGCAGCGCGAGAGTAAACATACGTGATTCCGGCAAGGCGTGAGATGTTGCGTTTTGCCGTCAAAGGTGTAAGTTCGGCCGTCACCATCTATCTCCAGGCTCATGAATACTGAGTGAAACATTTCTGCAAACCAAACGTAGAGGCGTCACCTGAAGAGTTAATCACTCTCCACCTCTTCATGTCCTCCGCAAACTGCGTAGAGGTAGACCGAAGAAGCTGAGTTAGTTCGTTTATGTGAATTAGGAACATATTGGGTCCCAGCACGTAACCTTAGGTATGTCCTTAGTAGAGAGATCCCGGTCAACTTGATGAACATTGATCTGTCTCTCCAGTTTCGCCCAACAAAATCTCTGATCCTGGCCAGTGCTCCTCCAGCACACACTCTCAGGTTGTGGAGGACGACTCCATGATGTACGTTGTAGAACAGTTTGCCGAAATTGATGTATATTATACAGACAAATTTTCCTTAGTTCACTGCCTGTAACCGCACATTCCTCGTCACCAGCAGATTAGTAATGCATGGGCGGTTTAGCATAGAATCTTGCTGTGCTGGTATCTGCAAAACTTTTCCTTGTAGCAGCTATAGTAGCCCCTCCTTCAACAACTTCTCAACAATCTTGATCAAAATAGATGTCACACAAATAGGCCTGTATTCCTCCATTTTATTGAGGTCACCAACTTTTCCTATCGGCTTTACCACGGAGCACTTCCAGTCAGTCAGCGAAGCACCTTGGTACAGTGACTTGTTGTACAAGTCAGTCACAGCAGGTCAGATGATGGCGAATGAATACTTGAGAATCGGTATGAAAGAAAAGCAACAACTGGTAGCTCAGGTTGTTCTGGTAGCAGTTGAACTGCTCCCTGAGGTTGGTAATTTTGTTGCTAAGGTTTCGTCCCCTATGGAGGAGAAATCAACGTCCTGATGATGGCAGCTCGATTGGTGACGGAACGTTTGCAACAAAATTGCCAAGCTCAGCGAACAGTTCAACAACTACATGTGAAACAGTGGGTGCAGTCCGTCAGGGCTTGCACATTTGGTGCCTTAAAGATGGGCGAGTAGTTGACGAGCCACTTCAACGATGCACAATGGATGTGCGATTTCGGTAAGTGCGGTTCGCGTTGAACTCCAAACAGACACCTGGTAATTTAGAAACACAGAAGTGAAGTGTGCTGGCAACGTGGGCGCACACCCAGTGCTGGAGGTTGGGGGCTGTACATCGGTGTCCTTTAGCCCTGACAGATAATCTAGAAGTTTAGGGCGCCGATTCATGTAAACAATGATTTTGTTCGGGGCGACCTTTGCGGCGGTTGCGAGTTGCTTTTCGAAATGCCAGTGCTTGCTCGTTTTGCACTATTTCATCTATTTCACTGCCAGTTTTACTCCCCGTTATCGTCCGAAGAGTTGTGCAGTTTATCGATGGAGAGCAACATAACTTAATGCATAACGCTTCACCTGTGTCCTACCTAGTGAGAGCTATGTATAGCAGTCTGGCAATTCTCCCCGACTGTCTGTGTAAGTTGTGTAAAATACTGAATCAAAATGTCATGTTATTGTGCGCTTAGATCTTTCGTTGCCGAATGGTGATATGTATGTTGCATTTTTTCGTCTGATCTAACACACGCGAGATACACACATAAAGCGCCACGGCTGGATATAGCACGCCTTTTAATGACAGGATTATGTGTTTATAAATAATGCCCATGGAAGATTAAAACACAGTGTTGCAAAGAGATCTCTTTTCGGCAGATCACATCAGGCAAATACAACTACAGGACTGTAAAATGCATTAGTAAACTGGTGCAAGTAACAATGAGGACGGATGGGACGATTTGAACAGTTTTAGTATGTTCATTTGATGCTCGAATCGATTTAATCAGGTGACATCGTGATCGGGCTAACCGACAGCTAAATAACTTGTGTAAACAGAAAGGGCAAAATTACTAACCAAATAAAATTAGTTAATTACGCAAATAAATAGCACCCGGTTAAGCGAGATACTCCGGGGAACCTTATCATCAGGGCCATGGCAAAGTCAAGGGTTGCACGAGCACCCTATGCTTGCATAGCTCTGGTTGTGTTAGCCTGATCGCGATGGCTTCAGCTGTCTGCAGGAGGCCTCCTGCTTAACCGGGTGCTATTTATTTGCGTAATTAACTAATTTTATTTGGTTAGTAATTTTGCCCTTTCTGTTTACACAAGTTATTTAGCTGTCGGTTAGCCCGATCACGATGTCACCTGATTAAATCGATTCGAGCATCAAATGAACATACTAAAACTGTTCAAATCGTCCCATCCGTCCTCATTGTTACTTGCACCAGTTTACTAATGCATTTTACAGTCCTGTAGTTGTATTTGCCTGATGTGATCTGCCGAAAAGAGATCTCTTTGCAACACTGTGATTATGTGTTTATTTGTTTGTGGCGTGGCTGTT